AAAAATATTCCCTAGTCATAAACCAGCCGGCAAATGATTTGACCCCAATCCTCAGCCCGATCCCATTTGCTTAGTGGGGAATGGACATATTGGGACCCTTCACCACTAGGTCAGCGGGAAGGAAGTACCACATCGTGGGAGTAGATTATTTTACCAAGTGGATAGAGGCTGAACCCACTAAGTACATAAAGGCAACCCAGGTGAGGACGTTTATATGAAAAAACATCATCACAAGGTTTGGGGTGCCGCAGTGCATAGTCTTTGACCACGGATGCCAATTTGACTGTGACACCATCAAGGATTACCTGAAGGACATGGGCACCAAGTATGTAAGTGCCTCAGTTTGTCACTCGTAAAGTAATGGCCAAGCCGAAGTGGCAAACAAGCTGATCTTAACAGCCCTGCATAGAAAGCTGGAGGAGCACAAATGCTTATGGGCTGACTTAGTCCTACAGGTGTTATGGGCAAATAGAACCACTGAAAAAGAATCTACCGGTAAAATCCCTTTCACTTTAGCTTGTGGGGCTGATGTAGTTGTTCAAGTGGAAGGGTAAATTCACAGCCTGAGGATACAAAACTATGAACCACAAGGAAATGAAAAGCGCATGATGGAGGAGCTAGACTTCCTGCTGGAATAAGGCTAAAAGCAGCTCTCAAATAGGCAGCCCAGAAGTGCAGGATTTCCAAAGCTTTCAAAAAAAGAGTCAAGCACCGAGAGATCCTGCCAGGAGACTTGGTTCTTAGAAGGACAGCAGCAAGGGGAAGAGGAAACCAGCATTGAAAGCTGCCAGCTAATTTGGAAGGCCCCTTCATCATTCATGAGCAAGTAGGACTTGGTGCATTCCTCCTCGCAGATCAAGAAGGTCAGGTCTTAAGGAATAGTTTCAATGCTGATGTGCTAAAAAAATATTTTGATTAAAGAGGCAGAAAGTTAAGTAGAATTGAGGATAATTGTTTAATTTCAATTTGTAGACAACCCTGTTTAGCTCATGTTATATCAATTAAGGCATTCAAGCTATTTTAATTCAATGAAATATGAGCCTCTACGTGAGGAGTATATTGCATACTTGTTTAAATATATTATGCTTTAGCATCATGTACTAACATGCAGGAAAAAAAACATGTAAGTGCTAAGGGTAGAAAGCACCATAGCATGGTGCAGCAAACCAAGATACACGACAAAAGGGCATCCCTCCCTAATATTTCACCTACTCAAAGTAAAATAGGGCACCACCTCGGGGACGCCTGAAAGGGAGACTTGGAACGTTCAACTTGAGCAGGGAAGGTCTCTCCAAAAAAAAACAAAAAAGAAGACGGATGAGCTATGTGGGCAACACTAAGGTCCTCTTAGTCCCACCCAGCTCATCTCTTTGAGGGGGAGAGGAGGAGATATACAAATCAAGAGGCACAAAGCAATAAGTCACAGCACAAACAAGCTAAACGACACATACAAGTCACAATGAAATAAGCTGAATGACATAAAATGAATAAGCCAAAAGCTGGTTGACACGAATTAGTCTCAACAAAGTAGACCGAATGATGCCAAACATGCAACAATTGAGTAAACTAATCAATATGGATGAAATTCTCTACAAAAATTAAGTAGAGTACATAAAGCACAAGCATACAGCGCAAACAGGGTAGAAAGAGCAAAGCTCACCAAAGTTCCTGCTAAGTATAGCAGAGGACAAGAAAACAAGAGCGCCCTCAGTAGCCAAATCAGGAAAATAGGAAGGCCCAACCTACGAGGCTTCACTGAGTGCAAAAAAGTGGCTATTGTGCTAAGGTCTAGGTACTACTACACTTTGGCACAACAGAAGGTTCAAACAGGCACGTAGACTACAAAACAACCAACAGACGAAATAGTGAAAGACCATCATGTACATACGACACAAAGCTGAACCCCTGCCCACCAAAGCAGAGTAAAGTCAGAACATCTATAAAGCTGAACCCCTACCCACCAAGGCAGAGTAAACATTAAGCAAAGTAAAGTTAGCAAAACATAAATTCAAGTCAAGCTAGACAGGCCCAGCAGTGAAGTATAAAGTATTATGAAAACGCAAAAGAAAAACACAATCTTTGGCGGCTATACACCCCAAAGATAGTAATAAAAAATATCTAGTTACCACAGATTTGGGCGAGGGAAACTCAAAGAAACCACTGCAGTAGGAAGGTGACAACCGCCATAACCTTTATTGTTCACCAGCCAAGAACTCCACCCCAATAGTTGCAGAAATGTCAGGGCAGAGATGATCCTCAAAGTTCAGCACATCATGGTCAGGAACCTTGGAGCTGACAGCACGAGGGTGGTCAGTAGGCAGCTCGAACAGGCCAGCATCCCCAGCAGCCTCAACCTTAGCCCAGAAAGTGTTGAAACGAGCCTGATGTTCCTCACCCTTACTGTAGACATCCATTTGTGTCTCCCCAAAATAATACCCAGTGATGAGTACCTTTCACGTAGAATCATAATCGAATGTAGAGAAAGTGTGGAAAGTCTAGTGTTGCGGATAGTTTTAATTTTTTTTTCTTTTCTCTCTATTTTTGAAAACCTATTTTAAGAAAACAGCCAATACATTTTGTTTGGTACATAGTATGGGTATAATAGTAGTGTATTTGGATGGGGCTTGAAATGAGCTTTCCAACGATATATTATAAGCCCAATTCCGATGAATAATGAGGAAGTTATGGCCAAATTACTAAACTAGGCCCGGTTTGAGCCTTATATGCGGCCCAATGATCTAGAGGAGGACCTAATATGGATTTATCATTCCTAACGCAATTAGGATTGGTTTTAGTCATCTAGATTCTTTTCATTCCTAATTAAATGGCGCAAACTTCTTTTTTCCTCGTCGAAACTCTGATTTGTTTTTCTATCCTTTTGGCTGATTTTTTTCTATAGATAGCCTCCTAAAATCTCCATTTTTCATCACAAATTATAACCAACAATCACCAATTATCACCAACTCTCTAATTCTCTTTTCTCTCGAAGCTAAAGTTCTCTCTTTCTCTCTTTTCTAAACCAACCCTTTTTGCAAACAAAATTCCGCATTCACAAGACTAAGAAACACCTAGCATTATTTGAAGTTGCCTTCACCCTAGACGTGAAATGTTTTAATTTCTGAGGGTTTGGTCCCAAATCTCTATTTCAATTATTTAATTTAATTGTTTGTTTTATATTTTCCTAGAAGTTACTAACATGTGTATTTTGTTATTAGAAAGAGGTACGAGGCATCCAAGCAAGTGCTTTAATAGTTTTAATTAATATTATGATGTACAAATCATGCTTAGGATGTTATTTTGTTTCCTAGTATCATGTTAGGATGCTTTCCTTAATGTGATGTTTAGAATTACAACAATAAGTTCCTAGTATCATGTTTAGGGTAAAGAATATAATGTCAATTACGATTTCTATGATGCCTTTTATTGTCTTTGCTAATAACATGTTAGTATCATGTTAGGGCTAAAGCTTTGATCTTTGATATTTAGTGACATATTAGGGTTTGTTATTAATCTTGTTAGTATCATGCCTCAGATCTTGCTATTATTATACTTTAACATGATTATTTTTACTATTAATTTTATAATCCTTAATTATTATGTTGCTTGATTATATTTATTGTTATTGCTTGATCACGCCTTTTATGCATGTTTAAAGGGAATTTGTACTTGTAATCACGCTTAATAAGATAATTAATAATCTTATTTAGAGTTAATATGATTATAATTCAAGTGATCGCCAATAATAGTGTTATTTGTGCATTAATATTCAACCAACATAGATAAACAGGTTTAGGGTTAAACCTATTGGTTGTATGTTAGTCAGAAAGCGCACATGAATACGATCAGAATAAAGTAGAGGCCTATTATTAGGGCATGATCAATTTCTTTTAGGTTGGATTGGTACCTTCATACCCGAACTACCAGTCATGGTTCCAGACCTATTGGAGTTAACGATTTCCTGGATCATTAAGGGTTGTAACCTTCACCCTGTGAACGGTTTACAAGCTCCTAAAACTTGTTGGCGACTCTTTTGCTCTATCTTCTTTCCCTTTGGACGCCACCCTACTTTAGTGTATGATCACATTATGGTTCAAGTTTGGGATAATGCTTGAAATATTCCCTACAGTTTTTTGGCGACTCCACTGGGGAGGATTTCTATTTGAATTCTTGAAATTTATTTCGGCAATGATTTAGAATGAGTGGATGAGAATCGAAAAGTTCTAAGTATTTCATGTGCGTAATTTTGATTAACATTATTGTCATATGCATAAAAAAGATCTCATTGGAGAGACATCCGTAACGAGTTAAAAACATAGGATTTTTACACGTAGGAAATTGGAGGAATATCTTTCATAACTAGGATCGAAATAATGCTTCGTGAAACTAGAAAATTTTATCGAGCACAAAAAGCTGTTGAGGCATGTAGGATCTAGCATCAGGGAACAAAGTATAGCGCCAACAATTTGACGCTAGCGCCAGGCGACAGCTTCTGTCGCCAGGCGCTAAAGCTAAAAGGTGGCGCTGGACTCTGTTTTCTGGCGCCAAGTTCTTCCAATACCGAGCCAGAAATATGCGTTCTAATTTCGACCAGTTTTTAGCGATGTTTGCTCGATCCTACTTCCTGATTGAGTTTTTCTCACTTTTCTGAAACCCATATGTGTTCTACATATGGACATAACCCTCTGGGAATTCATGCTCAATCTACCTGATTGAACGCTGTGCACATTAAATGGTACATCCGAGAATGTTGAATTCACCAAACCATGGAAGCGAGTTTTTCTAAACTCGCGGTGTCCCATCCACTCGCGCCAACCCTTCACGGTTAGTCTTCCGCGCGGTGCATCCGGACAATTAACCATGGACCCTCTTTGACTAACCCATATCCCGAACTTTAGAGAACTAGAGCCATGGTTAGGTTGCAAACTCAATGCATCATGTTGTGCCTACACTACACCAAAAACTATATTAGAGATCGCAAAATATAGAACGGTTATCAAAGGTAGGCGTTCTCTGGAATAATATAGATCGTCTTTATATAAGAGACGTTCTGTATGTTAATAATTATTTTTTTTTAGATGATATAGAACGGTCATCTTGATAACCGTTTTATATTGTATTAATTTTTTTTTTAAATTAAGATGAAATTATACACGCGATTTACCCAAATTATCAAAGGCGGCTAAAAGGGAAAAGTGAAGCGCGCTTCTCTTTCACTTTTCATTAGAATACTGAATTAAAAAATAAATTTACCCAAACCTCTTTCTAGACTCATTCATCAGAAAAAAAAAGTACGAAACCTCCATTAAACCTCCATATCAAAACCTTCATCAGCCACTCCCGCTTACAGTGCCGCTCCACCGCCGCAGCATCGCACCAGTAAATTAAGGTAGGCTCGATTGTTTTTTTTTTTTTTTTTTGGTTCGAATTTTCTTCTCAAATAGTAATTTGATTCTGATAAGTGTCAATCTAATTGCATGCATCATTCAAATTATGAAAGAAACCTAAGTGAATTCGTAGTTTTCATATATTAAAGTAATTTGCAATTCGAATTTTAGGTGATTGAAAAAAAATTTCACAGTTCTAGTTTTTGGGATAAATTCCGAATTATAGTAGTTAGTTCAATCAAACTACCCTTAATTTTGTCGAATTTACTTTAATTTCAATTGTAATCAAAATTATTTTAGCCAAATTAATCTTACCTAAGTTCAATTTAGAACCCTAATCAGATTAAGAAAAAAGAACAAAGAGAGAGGACATCCTTGCAAAGCATGCTAAGCTAGAAGAGAGTGTAATTTGATGTACTAGTTGTGTAATTTGGATACCCCCTCCTGTTTGTATAAATGCAGTAAGCAATGACTTTGCATCTTTTGAACAACCTGTTGCATCTCATTCTGATGCCTATGGGCAGAGAACTAAACGCTGTAAACTCTATTTTTATTAGCTAATTGACCTCCTTCCTCTTCAAAAAAAAAAAAAAAAAAAAAAGTGAGATAAACATACGATTTTTTGTTTTGGTTTAGTGGTGGAAATATATGCTGTTGGTAGAATTGATGAGGATATGGCTGAGCCAGGTTCGGCTAAAAACAAAATGTTTGGGTTTTTGTGTTTACATCTGCTTTTGGATAAGAATTGTTATATACATGTAAAAGTGAGTTTGTTAGCTTGTTTTATTTACATTGTTGTAGGAATTAACTATAGTAGTGTATGTTAAAATTATATCCATAAGATGAACCTCCCAAATTTGCTCAAACAATAATCAACAATTATGTGCTAGATTACTTATTTTGTTACATGTTAACTTCTTTTTATGAAAGTATTTCAATACTATTACTCTAATATTTTGATAATTACTTAGGGCAATGATCAATTTTAGCGCGGAACATTGAAAGGATATCACAAAAATAAAGAAGAAACCTTACATTAAATGGATAAGCATAGAGGTATTTGTATCTTTAATATAATTTTGCAATGCTTAGTACATAATATATGTTGATACATTATATATAACTAGGTGTTTGATTTAAACCTCCCTTTTTTTTTGGTTTGTATTAGTGTCCTCGTCAAGCTAATGGCTCTAGTGATAGTGGATATTACGTTTGTCGCTACATGATTGAGACAATTGAATCTAGGCAAATGATCATCCCCGATAAGGTACGACATTTAGTTTTAATGTATTTTGAATAGCTGATGCACACATCTGACTATACTCTCTAAAATTTGTAGTTTTTGCACAATTATGCTCTCTAAAATTACTGCTGGGCCCTACAATGGTGGGTCTACGGTTGTTTTGAGATTTTATTTGTTGGGTTTTGATGGAAAATTTGTGAATGTACCTCAGTTTGTTTGTAGTCAAAATGGGGTTAGTTTTGATAGGAAATTGGGTGTGATTGTGGATGTAAGTCATGGGATGAAGGTTATGATTTCTGAAATGATTAATTATTTGGCTTTGTACTCAGCTTCAGGGGGGAAAGTATGGGTTTGTGGGATGAAATTGATTGGGGATGGGAGGAGTTTGAGGTTAGTGAAGTGTGCTGTGATTGATTGTAGTTTGAGATAAGCACACAAGCAGTTAATGCACTGTACATTTAACAACAATATGCAGCTTTACTCTTATTTTTCTTGGGCCTAAAAGAGTGTCCAAATAACATAGCTGTATCATAGTATTAGAAACATGTTAATTTCAATTATAACTCCTGCACCTGTTAAGCTGTTACATTAATCTATTAAATCAAGGCATAAAGTGTGTGGTAGGTAGTTATTTAGCTAAATAATACATCTACATTACTGTTGCATTTTTGCATCTGTTACTTTATGCTTCAGTCATCTGTAATAGACTCAAATCAGTAACACAACAAAACCAATATAACAGCAATGCAAGTTGTAATAGGAAACCAATATAACAGCAATGCAAGTTGTAATAGGCTTGTTGTCGGACTTGTAATTTCTGATTTTGAACTTCTGTTGTTGAATTTTCTGTATCACCCACTGTTAATCTATTCAGAATCCATTCTGATTGATTTGCAAAAATGGCAGCATCCACCAATTTTTAGTAATTCTATGTATCATTGTGCAATATCCTTAAATGTAGACCAATTTATTGTATATTATTAACTAATATGTATGTATTTTATATTGTTTTGTAGTATTTTAAGCAAGTTCCTCATACATATTCTCAACAAATGATTGACGAGCTTAGGGAAAGGTGGATTTCATATGTTACCGGATACCATCAACCAATTGACGACGACGATGATTTATGTGTATTGTAGATCTATATGGTATTGGTATATTTTGGGCATCAATTTTTTTTTTAAATCACATTAAATAGAAAGGTTTTTGTTATTTAACTCACGTATTTGTTTGTATAGAACAAATTTTGTATGAATGATTCAATTTAATTGTGGTTGGATGTTTTAAATTATATATATGAAGTATATTTTGATGGCTTTCGTTGTATCTGGAAATATTTTTGTTAATTTTATTATACAGAAAGTTATATTGCACGTACAGGATCTTGGATTTATTTTACATATGAAATGTGAATATTTTCTTACAGGATATATAAATTTACAAGATATAAAACAGGAATACAGGTCGAAAATGAAATACAAAAATAATTCAGATTATTAAAATACAGGAATAATACGGTATAAAATACGTAGAGGGGTAATTCGAATAATTAAATACATATGGCCGGATTTTTTTTTTTAAAAAAAAAACATTAGAGAACTGTTATCTAACTTAAACGTTCTCTATTGTAATGCAATATAGAACGGTTAAGTGGCCTAAACCGTTCTATATTCCTTCCTTGGTGTACGAATTTAAGAAGGGAAAAGAGAACTGTTGTGACTACCAACCGTTCTCTATTTGTTATTATATAAAACGCCTACACGACCCGTTCTCTATACTTTATACATCGCTTAGCAAAAGAACGCCCCTAAGGTGATCTGTAAAGCCTATTATAATAGTTCTCTAAGGCCTTTTTTGTAGTAGTGCTACTTGACTAATTGTGCATTATTGGTTGTGCATCCTCTATGTGTTTTACCTAACTGTTTGTTTGACTTGTGCTAAGACTAAATAAATTGATTTATGACTAAAAGAACTTTGCCTAATTAATTAATTGATTAATTAATTTGAGTAATTAAAGTTTAATAATTTAATTCGAGTTGACTTAGTACGACTTTAGGCATACCCTGTAGAGTAATAATATCGAAAGCAGTTCAAGATCAACGTTCCAGCAATGGTGCCGAGATTTAAACTGCAGCGCCTCTCTATGGAGCGTAGCGCCTGGCGACACTCCTGTCGTCTGGCGCTACACTGCAAAGGGAGGCGCCATTCCTGTTGTTTTGGCGACAGTTCGGTTTGCTGCTCGAGTCATCACCTTATGTCTAATTAAACGGTTGTCTAGTCGATTCAGTTAATTTTTACTGGTAATAATACCTCGTCAAGTCATTAATTGAGTCTAAACATTAAGTCCCATGGTCTTACACAAGAGTCAAAGCATGTCAGTTACACTCACCACATAAAGCACACACTAATGTACACTTTGACCATGTCTAAGGGAGTCCTGTATGCGCGTATTTTCCGTCAATTTTTTTAGGGGGGTAAGTCGGATATTAATCCTCCAAGTAAACCATTTGTTTGAACCCTATACTTAACTCCCAAAAATATATACATTATTTTTGCCAAAAATATGCACCCTATTTTTGCTTTTTTCTTTTTCAAACCGTAAAGTCAAGGACAATTTAAGTCAAGTCATTAAAACAAAAATGGTTTAATTTGCAGTGTGTGGTCAAGAAAGGAAGGGCGTTTGATCAAAGACAACCTTTTTATTCAAGTCCAACTTTTTGACAAATCGATCGCTCGTAAAAGGAAAGCTAAGACAATAATGGCAACTCAAGAAGAAGTTAATGAGCTCAAGAACCAATTGATTGAGGCGTTAAAGGTTTTAACCCTCAAGATTGATGATCCTATGAAACAACAACAAATGGACCTCATGCAAGAGAGTCTGAGCAAACTGTCTAGTGATTATGAGTTTCAAGGAATTAGTTCACAAGGGGTCTCGGTGGACAAGGATCTTCTTCCGCAGAAGTTCAATGCCAACGACATCCTGAAATTCAAAGCGACTGACAACCCTTACTTTCATTTAAGAGCCTTCGAAACAATAATGAGTAGTAAGGGTATTGACAAGAAGGTGTTTCCCTCTTTGTTCTCCCTATCTCTCGAAACCGTTTGCCAACAATGGTTCTTTTCTCATGAGAAAGAAAGAACCTCTACTTGGGAGTCCATAGTAAACGCTTTCATTGTTAGATACAAGTGCAATATTCAAGTTGAGACCGACTATAAGGAACTTGAAAACCTCAAGTAGAAGGAGAATGAAGGTTTTACCTCTTTCTTTAACAAATGGAGATAAACCTCAGCTAAGATGATCGAGGTACCAAGTGAAAAAGAATCTGTGAGGTTATTCATCAAAAATCTTCAAGAGAAGTACTCCAAGCATCTCAAATACCAGAATAATCTCCATACCTTCAAGGCCATCTATGACATTGGAATCAATATTGAAGAAGACCTGGCTAAGCTGAAAGCTGCTAACAATAACTCCAACAGTGGCTGAAAAGGCAAGAAGAACGACAATCCTTCTTCTTCCAAAACCACCCACTCAAACAATGTTATTACCTTTAAATTAAGTGAAGTCCTTGCTATGAATAATCAAGGACAAAAGAAACCATTTAGGAGGAACTTTACTCCTATAGGTATGAGTTATGACACCGCATTTGACCGATTAAATGCAAAAGGTCTTATAACTCCTATTGGACCATTTGGGGACCCACCAGTCGAGAAGAGGACGGCTAATTGGAACCCCAATGCACATTGCAAGTATCACCAAGGTAGGGGCCATTTTACCGAAAATTGTTGGAAGCTTAAGGAAGCAATTGATAATGCACCTCTCACTCACTCTTTGGCCATCTTTCATGAAGAAAACGAGGTTGATCCCTCATCTCTCATCAAGCCTATTGAAAAAATCCATGCTATTGAAGAAGAATAAGAGATCTTTTTCGATGCCATGGATGACTTTCCTGAACTAGCAAGTAAAGAGGACGTACGGTTGCTTACACTGTCCATGTTGGAGGATCTAACTTGCTACGTGAAGCTCTCGAAGTTGTGAAGAAACAATTAGAAGAGCTTCAGAAAAAGGGTGACAAGATTCCATCGACAAAGAAGAAACCTTTTCCTTGCAAGTAATTGATTAATCCAAGAAGAGTAATAGACTCTATACTCCAATTGGGATTCCATATGCTCAAATGTTTAAAATGCTCTCCGAGAGTGGCGAGGTCAAACCTCTTGAACCGAGACCATTTGAATCATTAAAAAGGACAGTTAGATTCTACTGTCAATATCATAAATCAGGGGGTCACACTATTGAAAATTGTTTTAAATTTAAGGATTTAATTCAGAAAATGATTGATGACAAAAGGCTAGTCCAAATTCCACAAGAGGAAGACATAAGTATTAATGGAGTTTGGGACAGTGATGAAGAAGACGTTTACTTAAAAGATATGGTAGGACCTCCACCTTTGGTGTCATATGCCATGGATGACTTCTAGGTTGAAAAAGATTCATCCATAGACGTCCTCACAAGATCCGGGAGAATGCAACCTCCTATTTCGACACAACCTATGCCAACCACGCAACAAGTTCCCAACCTATCATAGAAGACAATGATATTGTCAAACAGTTCAAGAAAACCAAGGTTGAAATGAATGTATGGAAGCTTCTAGCAACAACTCGAGAACATAGGTTGGCAGTGATGAATGCCTTGGATAAGATAGGGATAGATTCTGACACCACTCCTGAGGAGTTGGCTAACTTCCTTACGAGTGATCTTCCTAGTCCTATCAACTAAATCACCTTTTCCAACAAGGACTTACCTCCAGAAGGTGACAAGCATTATAAGGCGTTAAACCTCAGAATAGTCTGCAAGAGAATGAACGTCCTTATGACTCTTGTAAACAATGGATCGGCCATTAATGTCTATCCACTCAGAACTGCGAGGATGCTAGGCATAAGAGATGAAGACCTAACCCCGTCAACACAAGGAATAAGAGCTTACGACAACACTCGTCATCAAGCTCTTGGTAAGATTACTATGAATATAACGGCGGGAGCAATAGAACACGCTACTACATTCCAAGTAGTAGATATTAAGGCTTCATTTAATTTATTGTTGGGACGCCCTTGGCTTCATGTCCTAAAGGCCGTCCCTTCATCTCTCCACCAACAGGTAAAGGCCATAGTTGGAGGAATTCCCATTACAATCGGTGCTTCACCCATGAGGATTAAAGCTATAGAAAATCCAATAATTAATGTGGAGCAAGATGAAGATGATGAAGATTTGTGGGGCTTTAATGAAGAGGTCTCCTTAATCGAGGACGATGAAAGGACCCCTCTCTTCCACGACCCCCACTCTAATATGATAGTGAACGCTATTCTGAAGAAACAAGGACATTTTCCTAGGATGACCCTAGGAAAGAAGAAAGGAATAGCAAAATCGTTGGAATCACCTGGCCTCCCTAAATTAGACAATTTCGGACTTGGTTTCGAACCGACTCGTGACGATCTCAAGGGAGCCCAGGAAAAGTAAAAAGCACATAGGGACGCTCGCATCCAAAAGAAAGCAATCCCAATGGATAAGTATCCTCTTACCCTCAATGGACAATTCATAAAAGAAGGAGAGGACTATCCATGCTACGAATTTCCCGAACCTTTTGTCGTAAATGGCCTAAGGCAACCGGGATTCGAAATTTTCCTAGATTGCTATTTTATAGATGAAATCCCAACTCCTGTTCATAAAGAGAAAGCAGCCCCATGCTTTGACTTTAACGTTAGGGATTACTATTTGGGTGAGAAAAAGAAGAGCCAACATACAAAGAGGGCAACTCCTTGCTCATCCAAACAGTCCTACAAAGCGAAAGCTTTGATCCCTCAAAGCTCATCACTCCAGCGGAAGGATCATTACAAGGGTGGTGAAAGACCATCAAGGTGACTACTCCAAGCAGAAGGAAAATCTCTATCACAACGGGGCAAGGACCGATGTTCGAAGAGTCAACTGAGTCAGAGTCTCTTCCTATAGAGTCATCTAAGTCTTTAGTTGTAGCACCCCCTCCTTTTATCTCTTCCGTTAGGATAGTTAGCGATCAAGTCCCTGAGAACATATCTCTCTTCGATGTAATGATTTCTGAATTTAATAATATGTCTTCTTCTTCTTACTCCTTGTGTTCTTATTTAACCCAAGATGACAAGCATTTCCTAACTAACAATGAAAATGACAAAGAACTTATTAAAGCAATGGAAACACTTGAAAAGAAAACACCGATAATTGAGGAAACTGATACGGTTGATATCTCAAATGATTCAACTAATAAAAGAGAAGTTAAAATCGGATTAACACTTA